TATATATATATATATCCATATATATCCACGTATATTTTTTTTTCTCATGGAAGTAGCAGGAGAAACAGGGAAAATTTGTTGATCAGTCATGGAATCTGTCACAATCCTTGCAAATCACAGCCCACAAAGAGAAACAAATACCCTTGAAATGAAGTCTGCAAACACCTTAGCATAACAAACATGAAAGCTCTGGCTTCTCTTTTATATAAACTGGTGAAATGCCATGTGACTGTCCTCAGTCTTACCTCTGACATGTGTAGGTCTGCTGGGCCTTTTGTATACTGGTACCTTCCTAACATAATGTTTCAAATGGGATCTAAGTTTATAGCTGGCCTGGAGACCACACACAGTGAGGAAAAATTCATATGGAAGTCATGCTTTTATAACACATTTGTAAGCTTATCATGTTGTGAGACCTCTGCTACCCTTCCTGTTGGCTGTGGCCTATTTGGCAGTCCTGCTCTTTGCATAATGGAGAGCTCAGTGCAGACCCACCACTTCAGGAGAAAAACTTGAAGTGTGCTGCAGTCAGAAAATGAGGCTGAGATTAGTCTTTAATTTTCTTCTTTTTCAACCAGAGGCTAGACAAAATAGAAGAAAGGGGTAATGCCCTTAATTGTATAGTTCTCATAGTAAGATAAGAACATTTACAAAGGCTTACAAAGGTAGGATGAGATCCTGGTCTTGTCTTTGAAAGAGGAAAAAAACTCAGATGACTTTTTTTTGCAAAACATGACCATATTAACTTTTCATGTCTGTGGTTAAAAATTTGTTATCAGAAAGAAAATGATGGATTTCCTGGTTTGCTACAAAATATTAAAGAATCCAGACCTCACTTTCCTGGCTCCCAGGAATATCATCTGAGGAAATAAATGCAATCCCTTAAAAAGCAAAGAAACATGGCTTTTGCAGATTGATACTCCTCTCATCTTTTCATGCACTTCCCTTTCCCTTCAAAATTAAAAATAAGTAAAGGCAAAGGGAGGTTTGGGCCTGAGAATTTGTTAGAATTAAGAAAGATATGTCCAATGCTCTAATTATTTTTACTTCTGGTTGGTGGTGCCCTGCATCCAAGGAGTTTCTGCTCAGGAGGGTATAAATAGGAAAGAGGATGTTTGCAGTCAGGCAGACTCTTAGACGAGCCATTAGCCTGTTTTCTTTTCTATGATCGAGATGATGCCTAATTCAACTCAAGATGTAACTTTGAATATCAGCAAGTAGCTTCCTAATAGGTGTTGACACATTGGAATCACCTTTACTCTTGAGTTATCAAGAGATTTTGTTCTCCTCTTTATGCTGTTCCTTAGGACAGACCCTGAATTAAAGAAAGTACATTTCTCTCCCACTGTGTCCTCATGTCAATGACTGATTTGCAGCTAATCTCTAAATATTCCATGTTATAATCCTTGACAAGTTCCTAGGCAACCATTCTCCAGTTAGGGACTTGACAGTGTAGGCTGTGCTCCATGTTTTGACCCCATCCTCTCTACACATGGCGTCCAGAGTCAGCCATGGGGAAAGAGAGCTGAGAGGAAAGGAGAGGAAAATCCCATTCTGGCACTGAGTGTTTAAACAAACAGATAACACACATCACTCCTACTCATAGCTCATTGGTTAGAGCTAGTTCTATAAAATAGATTCCCTGTGATGGGACTGGGAAATATGAAGGAACAGATGGATAGTCACCCAGCAGTAAATATCTCTGCCATAGAGGGCTTCAAGAGAACCAAAGCAATGTCTTGAATAACCTTGATCTCATGTGGCTCTGAGTAAGGCACTCATTTCTCTGGGAAGATTGAACAGATAGACACACGCCACTTTCTGATATTTATAATGCGGTAATCGTTTTAGGAGTCCAACAAAAATGAGACTAGCATTAAAGTTCAAGGAAACATTTTAATTATTAAAAATATGGATAAAAGAAAAAGTACAGCAAATAAAAGTGGGATTAAGAGAATAATGCTAGAAGTCTGGTGGCTAGAAAACCAAGTCAATAGGAGGTCAAGGTGTCTGTATGTGTGTGTGTCTCTGTGTGTGTATGTGTGTGTGTGTGTGTTTCTCTTCCTCTTGCCTTTTTTCTGATATAGTTTACAGAAGATAAGGGAATTCTTCCCATCCCTTTGTATCCCTCCTACCTTTATCCGTGTCTTCTTTCTGGACTATTTTCTTGTTTTTTATTTTTCTTCAATTTTTCTTTTCTTTCTTCTCCTTTTCATTTGGCTCCCTTTAATTCTTTTTCTAATATTTGTATCAGTTGTTGAATCATTTCCCAGCCCCATTTCTCACTTGGTAGGCACTTTTCTATGCTAACTCCATCTACATATATAGCACGCCTTTACCATCATTAGGATCCTTTGGAATCCTATTTCCTTCTTCCCATACCACGTAGCAAAAGACTTTTTTTTTTCACTTCTCTTTCTCTCCTCTGGTGTTACCCAGTGTCCAACCCCTTAGGTGCCGGATAATTCATTTTATAAAATGACTGTAGAAGGCACTTGATTACTACTAGAGGAATATAGCCATTGCATTTAGTGCATATTACCTGTGAGTCAATACTCGGGCTGTTATGATGCGTATACTATAACCATGGGTTTCTTCTCCAGGCTACAGTAAGACCCCTAACAGGGTATGTGATGTCATAATTATCCCTGGTAGACACCACTGTAATGGATTAGCTTGTTACTACTATAGCTATTTTCATTGCGTAAGAATAATCCTAACTCTGGACAATAAAATGCCAGTGAATCTATCTGGCAATTCTACCATCACACTCAGGGAGGACAGCAAGAGTTTCCAACCCATGAACTCGGACTAGCTCAGCCTTTTCAAGAATATCTGAAACCTGGCTGAAAGAAAAACAAAAAAACCCTGGAGTCTGAGTTAGTTTCAGTACTGCAGCAAAAGAAACAGAGAAGTTATTGATCTACAAGCACTCAGACTCTCTGGCAAAGAAGCTACTTGGGAATCACTTCCAAACTGTGTCACTGGAATACTTAGCCTGTGTTCCCATCAGAAAATTTATAGGCTTAAGTTTTTGTATATTTTGTGATTTATTTCATAATAAATGGCTGTGTTATGCTCTTTATTGTGTTTATTAGGTTGTTCTTTTCATGTATTTAGTCTCTCGTTGGCTCCGATTTAATAGGTGGCTAGGCTTTTTCCCTTGTCTCAGCTCCTTATCTTCACCTCAAACTCCTGAAACAAGATCATTAACATATCTCTTTATTCTTTTTCCAAACACATAAATTCCTGCTTCCACATTTTACAATTCCTCGTACTGAGCTCTCTCACAGTCACTGCTATCTTCTCCAGTACTATTCCCCCATCGTCCCCATCATAAACCTCTGGCTCTTCCATGTCTACATTGCTTGCTGTCCTCCCTATTAGCAAGTTCTCATAACCACGGAGCTTTCTCGATCACAAAGTTAACCTCCTTTCTCCTTTACCTCGCCCTTACCCCAGCAGATATTCTCTGATAACTCTCAATACTAATCCTTCAGCTCAAATAAGAGTGCCCCAATAGGATCAGAGCCCATATTACCCTTTTCTTATCATCTTCCACTGTTCCCCCTTAAAACCTTCCTTTTAGTGTCTAACATTCCTCATTCAACCACCTCCCATCTGCCTCACCTCACCTCACCTACCTCATCACAGAACAATCACAGATAATAAATGGTCAGAGTGTTCATACAGGATAGACTTAGGGGGAAAATGTAACTGCCAGGACTCTAGAATAGAAGAGTTGTAAGACTGAATCTGTGTGTGCTGTTATAACCAGAACTAAATCTTTCGGCAAAACATAGGGACAGAGTCAAAACAAATTCAAGTAAATAACACAAAGGGTAAATACAAGCTGAAAATTATTCACAGGGAGGCAACATCAAACTAAAAATCTCTGCATTCTTTCCTTACTTCTGTAGTTCTCAACCCACTGTACCCCCAAAGAAAAGAAGGAGGAAAAAGCGGGGTAGAGATAAATGTTGGATGGACGGATAGATAGATGGATAGACAGTCATAGGAGCACGGGGATTCTCAGATTCTCCCGACCAAATAACTGGCAGCAGCATACAAGCAATGATGAAAATAGATGAGTTCAAAGAGGAAGTGAGGAATTCTCTCTCTCTCTCTCTCCATCTCCCCCCCACCACACACACTGCTTGCAATAGGGAAGCAGACCAAGGAAGCAAGGGAGAGTGGCAAGGAGGAAGAGAAGAGGAAATAAGTAGAATGAAGATATGCCACATTCAAGGACCTAATAACCTCAATTAATATAAACATTAAATGCCACAACACGAGCTAACAATATCAACAAGAACGTAAAAAGGGATGAGGGAACTGAAGGAGGAGGTCGGGAGGAGGAGGGAAGGGGAGCTGTAGTATGCATGTGTGATCACTCCCCAAGATGACTGTGAACTGCATGAACTGCAGACATGTCCTAATAAAATAAAAAGAAACATCTAAGTGCCAGGAGTGGTGGCTCATGCCTGTAATCCCAGCACTGGGGAGGCTGAGGCAGGAGGATCGCTGTGAGTTTGAGACCAGCCTGAGCTACGTAGTGGGTTCCAGGTCAGTCTCAACTACATAGTGAGATCCTGTCTCAAAAACAAAAAACAAACAAAAAAACCAAAAAAAATGTAAGTAAAAGTTCATAATACTTGCATTTAAAATAGAAAACAATTGGAAGCTCCTGGGAAGTTTATGCTTTTTTTTTTTTTTTTTTACCAGAGATTGAACTCAGGATCTTGTGCTTGTGCTTATGAGGCAGGCATGGCACCACTGAACTAAACGCCCAGCCCCTGTGCCTAAATCTTTAGGTAAACTATACGATGTATTTCTAGTAGGCTCTAATGCATAAACAACTTAACTTTTAATGAAGAAATAATGACCAGTTGAAGGTCATTCTACTAAATGATTGGCCTCTTTTCCATAAAAGTGTTAATTCATACAAGTTAAAAGACTACTAAGGATCCCTACAGAATGAAAGAAGACTGTCAGTTAAACTTAGTGTGCTATCCTTCATAGAATTCAGTTTAGGAAAACATTGCTGTAAAAGACATTGTTTGAAATAACTGAAAATTCCAAATTAAGAATTTTCATTAGCTAATTCTATTTTATTAATATTAAATAAACTAAATTTGAGCCCAGTGTTGTGATTATATGAAATTGCCCAAATTCTTAGGAAATACATGCCCAAATCTTTTGGAATAAAGAATCAGAAATTCTTCTACTCAATCTCAATGATTCCAAAAAGGAAAAACAACAGTACTACTATCATCAGACACATAGCAAAAACAGACATGATGCAAATGTGGTAAAATATTAACATTTGGTGAACCTGTGTGAAGTATAAATGGACATTTATTGTACTATTACAACTTTTCCTATTATATTTTTTCAAATTAGAAAGTTTAAAAAATACTCATTTGTGAAATGTTTTTAATGTTAATCACAATATTTGGCCTACATAATCATGCATCTCGCACAATCTTAGCTAACTTACAAAGATTTTTCCATGTAGAAGACAAGACTAGAAGAAAAATACCAAAATATTAACAGTCTTTGGTGGGTGAATTGGACTGGGAATGCTTTTACAGTTCCTTATTTTCCCTATATTTTCTTCAGATTTTTAATAACCACCTACCTTTTATAATAAAAATACTTTTAAGAAGAAAGAACCAGCACACAGGATAGGAACAAAGAATCATTTTCCCCCATCTCCCCAACTTTAAGCCTGAAGCCAAAATCAAGAGCCAGGACAGAGGGAAATGAGTTCAAGCTGTCAGCTATTAAGGTGTGAAAGTCTGTGTTTTAGGCTTGCCAATTGACCTTTAATGAACAACTGTCTGAAACAGAAAATTCATAGTATTCTAGGCTAAAAACTCAATATATAATTTAGCTTTAGTTTCACAGTGGGGCTGCTGGGTATGCCTCCAGCTTCGAGATTTATAGCCAAGCTGAGGAATAGTTTTGAATTTGGTTGATTCTTCACAGATGTAGGTTTCAAGTGCAAAATAGCTGAACTTGGCTTCTGATCTCAGACCAAACTGGCCTGAGCTAGATGATTTGTAAACCTTCAAGTTCTCTTTCAATAGCCAAGACCAGTATCTTCTCAGGTTCCCAGAGGGATCCTGGCCCACAACACCACAGTGACTCTTCCTACTATCTAACTAGTTTCTTCTAGAAGCTTACTCTCTGTCTCCATTCTTTGGCTCCTGTTCCCCGAAACCTACTTCTTTCCCTTCAGGAAGAAAAATGGGAGACCTGCCTATTATTTGTCTTAGCTATAACCATCTGTTCAAAAAGTCTACCTTTCATTTGTTCTACTAGGGGAATTCTTTGCTTCCCTCATCTCTCATTCCACTCCATTACTTCTACCTTCTGAACTGAGCCAGTTTCTCCTGCCTGTACATGTTATTTCTGACCATCCTCAAAGCAACCCAGGCTGTGGCAAAAGCTTTCATTCAGACTGGTGGTTGAGTCAGGATTCCAGCTTGATCGGGCTAGAGAAGCAGCTGTCAACATTGCCAAGTCCTGCTTGGGGCCTCTCTGGGCAGTTGTATGAATTCTTAGCTATGTTCTGACAGAACAGGTCATCTTGACACTGCCTGTAAGCTTCTCTCCTGCTGGGATGGCAGGAATGTCAACCATAATCATCCTCTAGGCTCCCTACTCCCCAGGGTCAAGTAAAGTTATGCAATGCCACTGCGTGCGTGCATCAGCAGTTTTGTGAGTTTCTCAACAGGCTTAGAGGCAATTCATGCTCTCCACATATTATCATCGCCATGCCACCTGTGTCCTCATATAAATCACTGTGTCAATTCTCAATATAGGGCAAAATGTCCATGTCCATAGCTCTACAGCTTCTAGCCTTCTTCGTAAAGGGATGGTAAAAAGTCATCCACCTACACACATGCTCGCACACACACACCCCTTCTCGGTTTATGTCTTTACGTATAGATCACTAAGAAAACAGAAGCTCTTAGACCTAAAACTTTTCATCTCTATATTACCACACCTATCACACACTCTCTCCTCTCTTCTGATTGAAGCTGTTTTTCTGCCATCCCTTCCTTTGTCACGTCTCCTGCAGCATCATCTCGCTCCCTCTAATGGACTTTTCATATCAGCAAGCAACGTGCTCCAAAATCTCCATCCTTGAAACAAATGCTTAGCATATCTCACATTGTCCTCCAGTCATTGCCCCAGCTCTCCTCATCACGACAGTACTTTCAAAGAGTTGTTTCTAGGTGCTTTCTCTATTCACACACCCCATATTTTTTTCTCAACCAACTCTACTTTTTGGAATCATAGTACTCTTCTCAGAGCTGCAAGTAACTTCCTCATTTCCCAATTCAAGAGCCGCTTGTTCTCATCTCACTCAATTTCAGGACAATTCGATACTTTCTCTTTATTCCTTTCACTTAGTTTCCAATCTCAATGACCCTCCTTCAATCCCCTTTACTAACTTTTCCTTATTTGTTTGCCTTCCAAATGTTGGGCTGCCCTGGTGGAGATCAACTCCAGGACATGAGCAAGTTTTCCGCAGTGCTCTGTTCTGTCACCAAAATAGATGGCCGTGCCAAAGCCTCCCAAATTAATTTTTTCATTCCAATTTCTCCTTCAAGGTCCAAACTAAAAAAAAACAAAAAAAAAAAACCTTACATACATGGCTGCTTCTTTGACATCTCGGGTATCTAAAGAGTATTAGAAACTCAAGCTAACTAAGCAAAAACAGAAACCATTTTCTCCCTCCCTCCCTTCCTCTCCCACCTCTCCCTCTTCTTCTTCCTCTCCCTCCCTCCCTCTCCATACACCCACACACACATGTAAACCCCATTTAATCCAAGTTCTCTCCATTTCAGTTAATTACCTCATTCTCTAGTCTTATAATCTACAAATCCTCCTTGATTCATTCCTCTTCTTATTCTGTCTCCAGACCTGCAAACCAACACCATTCAGTCCTGCTCAGCTCGCTGAATGTGTCAGAGTTTGGCCTCAGTATATCAGATAAAACATATGATGATTAGTCCCTGAAGAGAAGTTTTGTCCGTAGGCAGACTTTGGCCAACATTTATTCCTAAAATGGCTGCTCGTAAATCTTTGCTGAGACAGGATCTACTGACCAGCTCCCCTGGCAGTGATAATTCACTTTCAGGTGTCTGGTGGATGCCCGAGGGCTTCAGACATCAGAAGTG